GTGTGTGTGTGTGTGAGACTGAGGCCTGCCCGGCTGGTTGATGCAGAGCAGGTGGAGAGATTCTCTGTGCTGGGTGTTTGCCAAAAGAAGGAATACACCAACATATACACATGCAAGTACACACAACACACACACTAAAACACAACACAGACACACAAAAAAAGCCATTGAAAAACAGATTTTATAGAGTGATCTAGGCAGAAATAATATGCCATTTTGTCAGTTTTGTCCTTCACATTATCACAGACTATCTCTCCTGTGCCTCATTTGCACAGAGCTCTCCACACGCTATAAATCCTTTATTTCTCTGTTGTGCTGTTATTCTATATTTACAGGTATTTGTTATGTGACGGCTCACATCTAGACAACCTTGAAAATGCTGCGATCAAGGCTGATAACTACCGGTTGCAATTGCACTTTGAAGACAAAACAACATTAATTAGCGTATAAAATGGAAATGCAAGCGTCACATGCACGCTGCCTCCAAGTTCGCCTGGGTATATGAGGAGAGAGACAACATTTCAGACATATTTCCATCTGTAATCCCTTTCTCTTTTCCTCTGATAGCTGTGCTCTCTGAGGTACATAAACAGGAAGCTCGTCTGCATTGATACGGCATGTTTCAGTGTGTGACAGGTCATCTTTGTACTGGTGGAGTGTAACCTCTCAGTTCTTGCTAAACCTTCAGGATGCACGCAGCTCCTCTCCCCTCCATCTGCTGGTCTCTATGAAGTCTGCATCCGATCACAGGAGCTTTGACTGCAGCTTCTGTCTCTACCACATTGCAGTCATACCTAACCCCTGAGCCAGATCAACAACACAGAGGGAAATAAAAAAGACATGTGAAAACATCAACATTTTTTTCTTTTTAAGTGTTTAAAAGTGTGCTTTCAGCCCCTAGGTGCAACATTTTTTGCATATTTAGCAATGAAAACCCAGGTAGAATAATGTGTATGTTGAAGAAAACAAAAAATAACCTAGTGTGAAAATTATTGGTGTTGTTTACGATATAGATACATAGCAGTTTTAATAATTGGAATACACTGTTTTACTAATGATCTAAAATTAGCCTTTTTCTCTGTATTAAACAAAGATTGATTTGGGCCTTAAGTGCTTCTAGATATTCTCTCGTGGTGTTCATATTCATAAGCAAAAGACATTAACGGCCAGATTCTTGTAAATACAACTTAACTGTCATGAGCTTACACTTGTTGGCAATTTTGTTGAGAAAAGGGCCCAAAATATGAGCTACAGCTTGCTCTAACACATCAGAGTTAAATGTCACGTTTACAGTAAGTCTCTATAAAGCATCTCTATAAATCCAGCGATTCAACCTTCTTCATTTCCCCTGCAGGGAGAACCTTTTCTCTCCTGGTTACCTGCAAGCGACACCAGAAAGTTTGAAGGGGAAAAAAAAGAGTGAAATAGATGACAATACTCTCTTCATGCTAAAAAAGAAATCCCTGAATCAAAAGGCCATCCTCTCGTTTAAATAAACAATATCAGCAAAAAGAACACAAAAAGTTTGCTATTGGTTTAAAGCACCAGATCAGTGCAGAGAGCCACTTTTGGAACAATGGAAATTCAACACGATTATTAAACAGTTTTCTACCAAACAGACGTAGAGGCATGCGTGTTGAACTAGAGGATCTCTGGGTGCAGCTCCCCTCGCAGACTGATGCATTACTTTTCATCCATCCATCTAATTATTCCCTCAGAAACCTGAAATTTGAAGATACAAAAGACCGTCCCTATCTGTCACTGAGTGCCATTGATCTTATTGAAAGAAAATGTGGGTGTAGAGGAAACCCAATATAACTCATGCCATTAAATTCCACACAGCATTATTCACATACAGAATTGACAGATTTCTGTGAGACGTTTCTTTTAATCTTCAACTGTTGTTGAAGAAAAAAGGGTGGAAAATCCTACACTCCAGGCATCTCTTCCTTTTTCCATATTTGCAGTGAGGTTAACAAAAAAGGCTATTGAAGTAGGGAGGAAAAAAAACACAACCCCACCTAACTTGTTGATTATTAACAATGGGGAAGGGAAGAAGACAGATGTGTTTCCTGTGTATCAGCAGTGTTTGAATTGTCAGTCGGAAATCAGCGCTGAAGCTTTTATCAAAGCAAAGTAAGCTGATCAATTCCAGATGCTCTCGCTGTCCATGCGAGTCAATCTGCAATCCCATTTTTGTCAATAAAGTCTCCTGATATTCCCAAGTACAGACTGCATGTGCGTATGTGTGTGTGTGTCATGGGGATGTGTGGGTATTCTGCATGCATGTGTGTAATGATAGCAAGCAAGGCTGTGTGTCGAAGCGTGTGCATGTAACTGTGTGTGTTCAGAAGAATCCATTAAGCCTTGGCTGTCTCTCCCTCAGTGGTTGAAGGTATGTATGTTTACACATCAGTAGGACTTCAGTCAAATTTGGACATGCAGGACTTATTTCCAATACATGCCAGTTTATACTTCTATTACACATTTCAGGAGGAAAATGTACTTTTTACTTCAAAGTGTCAAAGCTATATGTACTAGTTACTTTGAAGATCAAGATTTTACATGCAGAAAACCATTGACAGTATATATACAAAACATATGATCAGATTATAAAGTATGATGCAGTTTAACAAATAAAACTACCAAACACTATATAAACTAGTTCAGTTCAAAGCTAAGGAAAAATATATTAAGTAGACCTTGATTTCCGACAGGTCAAATGACTATTTCCAAGGTCAAGAATTAACTTTCACACTGAAAATTGGATTAATTTTAACCAGCTATAAAATACTGCTTATACAATTAGCTATAAGTAATAATTATGTAGATTGTGCAAAGCTGGGAACGGCCCCCACATGTCTAGTTGCCCGAAAAAGCTCCAAGTTCAATGCATATTGTTTTCAGGTTATTAAATAAATTGAAAACTTCACCGGTGAATTTGGACCTGTAATCTATAACTAAGGTTGGTCCTGGATTATTAACCTAATCTTGTGACCTTTTATTATAGAGTGTCACAAAGTGAGCTGCACAAAGCTAGTAAGTGGACCTTGAGTTAAGATGTCTTTGTCCACTGTTTTCCAAGATCAAGAATGAACTTTCACACTTAATATTATACACTTCCTCTCAGCAAATAGCATGGAAAATGCCCATACACAGTAAATGAACTGCCTGAGGAAATCCGGTCAGCCGTGACCTCTTTTAAATCTCTTCTTAAGAGCTCTTTCCTGATTTTAACTTGATTTTTTATCGATTGCCCCTTCTGCTTGTTTTACTTGCTCGGAAAATGTCTTTAAGATCTGCTTGTTGTGGAGTTGTGAACCACTTTGTAACACAGGTTTTCTTTTTCTTTTTTCCAGGAAAGTACTTCCTAAATAAAGGTAATTCTTAACGGGAACAAGAAAAAAACTAAATAAAAAAATGGAAATGAGGGGCGTGAGGCTGGTTTGAGTTGGACTTTCTCTGTTGAATCTCGCGGTATTTTGACAGCTTCCCTGCACTGTTTGACACTTGCCCCTCCCCATGCGCTCCGGGAATGCTGGGTTGTTTACATTGCTGGCACACGGGTCAGGAGTGTGGCGATGAGAGGGGCCTAGTGGAGAGACTGTCTGAAAACACGTACACACATCGGGACTGGCTCTGCAGCACAAGGGCTCTCTCTCTCTCTCCCTCTCTCTCTCTCTCTGACAAGAAAAAAAAAAAAAAAACTTTTATAGCGCTCAGGCAACAGTGCCACGCAAGAACAGAGGCCCGACGACTCTTTTTATTTTTTTTTTGTGGTTGGTTGGAGCGACCTTGGAGAGAAAAAGAGAAAGTCAAAAAACAAAAGAGAACCGCCATAACCATCAGGAGAAACTCTCAACGTGAAGAAGGAACAGCTTCCTGGTAAGAAGTGAGAAACCCCGTTAGCTGACAGTGAACTTACGCAACTGTACTATAACACCGGACGACTAACCACTTGTAAACAGCTTTAAACCAACATTTTGACTGTGTTTGGGGAGTTGACAGTCTCAGCAAAAGCTCGCAACTCGCCCCAGCTTGTTGTGCCGGAGCGGTGTTGACACTCGCTGCGAAAAAAAAAAAAAAAAGTTTCTGCGAAGTTCGCTGGCTAACTGTAGCTTAGCTTGTTAGCACACTAGCACGCCGCGGTGCTAACTTTCACTGGCTTTGAAAGTACACAGTCATTGAAAGGTAACAGTGGGGTTGTAACGTTGTGCCAAAGGGCGACTTTTCCTTTTAAGTTTAACATCGTGACAAAGCCCCTGTGTGCTGGTTAAATCTGAGGTGGACACATGACAGTAGCCACAGTGAAGTTACAGGACTCATTATCGTTTGCATCATTACTTCCTTGTAAGTCTTCACGTTTGCAGCTGCAGTGTCTGTCTTTGCTCTGTGTTGTTACACTTGTCTTTTGCAGTGTACACGTGTTTGTGATTGTCTAATGTAAACTTTCTCTTAAGTGATATATCTGCCACAGGAAAACATTCATCCAGCCCTGCGAGCTTTTTTTTTTTTTTTAACTTATGGATTGTGAGAGACAAACAAAAAGAGAGACATCCTGACACAGAGTGAGTACAACAAGTAACACCAGGCTTTGTTATTATAAATCTACAGGCCTGTAGGTACACACTGTTGTTCCACATCTACTTGATTTAGAGTTTCAAAGTTAAAGCGTTTATTAAATGGACATCTTCATGTGTTTCTGTGTCCTATAAACTGACTTACATACTACAGAAGTTGCAGACTTCAGTGCTTATTCCCAAGTAGAAGACCTCAGTTACTAGCAGTAAACACATACACACTGTATTTGCTTAAACTAACCTGAATGTCCACTCTGCTGTCCAACCACAATCATTGTTAATTCAAATAAAAGTGCCTCGTTTATGAAGAATGGGACACATTTTAACAAAATCAAATGCTTAAATACAGCTGATGAAAGTATCATTTAGGTGATCAAATCTTTTGACTGGCACCATTATCCCTACACTGGATAATGTTGAATTAAACTGCGACATGCCAACATCAAGTGATGAGAGGGAAAGAAGTGACTTTGACTTTTGTGTTGGGCTTCAAGACCAGCTGGAAGTTGAGCGTCTAGGGTTTATGGGCATATGGAACAATACATCTAATGAACAATGAATGGGTTTAATAAATAATCTTTAATCTTTTGATCATATCATGTCTTAATAATGAATATAATGAATTAAAATTGAAGAGCCAATAGATGTTATTATTGAATTATTTTGGTTTTTAACCAGTTCAGTTCCAGCCCTCACTGATGTGGAAATACATAGTCGTTACCAGACTAACACAAGGCCTCCTCTGTGTTTCTCAAAAACCATTACACGCTTTGCAAGTAAGATTTCTAAGCTGATTTTCAGTGGAAATTGTGTCAGTGTGCTTACAGTTAAAGTGTGTATTGTTTCCGCACTATCTCTGCCTGGAAAAAGACTTGGCTCAAGTGCTGCTTCCAGCTGTCTATTTCACGCTGTTAAACACCATCGGAGTTATTGCCTGGAAGACAGGGTTTATTTGGAGAGAACTACTGGTACTTGTAAAGACATGGTTTATTTGAATGAAAAATACATCGAAAAGTATTTTCTTTTCAGGAAAAAATTTTTTTCTTGTGACTCACTGCTTTTTTTAGTGAGTCAGAATGGTAATTGCAAAACCTTTGAGTGATTGCGTCTACAGTTGACTTGAGTGCACCATTTTGTAAAGCTCATCTTTTAATAGAAATAAGCTCTAAAACATAAAGTAATTAAGGAAAAAAATAAGAAGGAAATACAAACCAAAGGCAACCAGAAAGCAAGAAAAATAAAAACTCACACAGGTATGTAGGCTGAGCCTCGCCTCTCCTAGGCCTAACCACACACGGGTCACACACAGGTTGAAAACAGTAGTTCGTGCGATGTTGCTGTCGCTGCCTATCACAGCCAAATAATTCGGGCGTCATACTATCACGTTTGGCTACGCTGCAGAGAGATGATTCAGACGAGAGTTAGTGGAAACTGACATACCTTGTTGACCCAATTATTACTCACTTCTCTGCTGCCACATTCGATCATCGTCAAAGACAACAGGCTTGACTCTGCCAGCGTCATCAGGTGATGGAGATGAACACCGGCTGGCTCTGTGAAGTTGACTATCAAGGAATGTGTCACGAACCGGGTGATCAGCAAATGGCTGCCAAATGTTTGCATCGGTCTCTGTGTAGAGGGATTTCTGCCAGTGTATCCCGCTTTGAATTTCAGCTGATGGGAGGTGGATTACTTTTGACAGGCCTTGGCAAAACTCTATTATTTTACCTGGTTCTATTGTTTGGATTAAACAAGGTTAATAAGGGTAGTAGACTAGAAAGTGGTGATAGCAGCAGTGATCAGTTGTGTTTAGCTTGACAGATGGACTGAAATAAAAAACATAGAAAGAGGAACCTCACTGTTTCCCCTCCCGAGTTGTTTTACTTGATTTAGGAAGAGGCGCCATTATCACGAGAAACAAGCACATAATGTACATTTGCAAGGTTTTTGCTGTGATTTAGCTCGGGTTCATCTACATACAGTACATGTTGGCCTAGGCCATGCATACTGTATCTTCTTTGTCAGTGCAGTTTTAAGGGCAGCTGGACTTTCTACCACTAAGACATTCAGATTGAGACCTAAAATGCCGTTCATTGGTGTGGAGAAATCTGCTGCACCCTAAGCAGTGATTTAGCGCAGTGGAATTTACCAAATCGCTCTATCCTGTGAGAGTTTCCTGTTTTAGCCCTGGAGCTGGCCCCTCTGCTGGATTGAAGATCAGATGAGACATTTGTCATCTGACCACTTTAACAGTCATCTTTGCCTTTGGGTTTCACAAAGAACAAAAAATGTTAGCTTTTGTTTCTTGCGCAAAGCATATTTGTAGGAAGATGCTTCCTAAGGCCATTTTTGAGCTACATTAAGCACTGTCTTTTGCATGATGTCACAGACCTTGGCCAAGCATTGTACAGACACTATGCTGGCAAAGGTAACAGATCACTGCTTAGGATATAGGATTGTTTGGTGCACTTTCTTTGTCATTAGTTGTTGTATTATCAAACAATTCAAAAGCAAGAAAAATAAAATGCCGTCTCGATGCCTTCCCGAGAAGAATTTAAAATCGAGCCTTTTCCTTTCCATGCTTTGGTTAGAGTTTAGAGTAAGGTCTTTGGCAATGAGAGCGGGCTGTCTAAGCAGCTTCTTATACACCCCTCAAACAGCCAGCAAGTCAATATTTTTCATATCCATCCCCCGTTCTATCTTATGAAGGGTCACTGATGTTTCAAGCATTCAAATATCCTTGGAGGATGCCTTGCGGCTCCCCATGTCACGTGAAAGTTCTCAATTTCACTGTGGCATTGATGCCTTTTCTCAGTGGGCTCAGTTGTGCTCTGGGGGGAAACAGACTACAAAGACATGCAAAACAAAAATTACTGACCTCGGACCCTGTTTAAAGTTTATGAAACGCTTTCAGTGCCCCTAGGTCAGTTCATGCCATGACCACACAATATCAGTGGTTTCTTTCACTGCAAAGGGTGTTGGAAAAAGGGTTTACTCAAGCTTTGTTTGTTGGCTCTGAAATCCTGCTTTATATGTAACAACTCTATTTATATGTTATGGATATTTGAACCTATTACAGTAATGAATTAATTAAAGCGATACCATAAAGGCCTTTTCCTACTTAAAGAGCCTCTAAGCAGAAAACAGTCATGAAAAAAAAAGAAAAAAGATGAAGAAATAAATGGCTTCAGTACGCCTGACTCTTCACAGTGCAAACTGGGAAGGCCCACTTAGAAATAATGTTGTTAATTTATACAGAAAGTGTGTAAACATTTCAATATTTTTGACTGAAACAGCATGCTGTTTGCTGTTTGAATAATTTGGAGATACTGACTCAACTGAAATAGCTGTGTAATGTAGCTGTTGCAGTTATTTGTTACACGGACTCTTGGTCCTTTTTATTTGAGAGTCAAATACTGACTGACCTTTTTAGTCAGGCTATTTGTGGACTAACTGCAAATTCTATATATCTATAATATATGAACTGTGTCTGTAGGTTACTGCATGTTGAGGAATAAGCTGCTGTTTGTTGTCATCTAAACAAAGCCAAATCCATGTTGGCATATTGTGAACTGCTGGAAAGCAGCATCTTTTTTTTTTTTTTATTGGAGATCACTCTCCAATTGTCCCCTCTCCCTCTCTATCTCTTTTGATTATTTACACCCAAAAATACAAATCCCTCAGGATACAAATTCACTTTCACAGAATAATTACAAGATGCTATATGCCACTGTAAACACCACATCAGTGACAGTGACAGTATGCATTTGTCATGAGACGAGACAAAAGCAGAATGAATTTGCACTCAGGAACAGAATGAGGGAGGAAGATTTTTTTTGTGTGTGTGTGCTGCTTGCTGACTGTGCTATGGGCGTTTGTTCCAGTCTCATCACAAATGAGTCTTAATGTTTCACACGGGATTTGCTGCAGAAGAGAGCAAATTTGTATGAGAGCATCTTGTTTTGACAGACTGTCTGTTTTACCCTCCCCGTTCTCAGTGTGAAAAGCCAGGGACATTTCACTGTCTCCTGTGCGCTTTTTTTACACTCTGTTTTTTATTTATTTTCTAGGACTAGGGGTCGGCTAAGGGATTCTTTAATTAATCAATTTCAATTGTGTAAAGCCAGATTTTTTATTTATTGTACGATACACCCGCCGTATACTCTCATGCAGTCTGTTACAGAACTGGAAATATATGTAACACATGGTGTTGCAAGCGACTAAACTGCTAAACCGTGCAAGCAGTTTCAGTTGAATTATATTCGTGTCGTCATTGTGCATCCACTGAAAGAGAAAGCAGAGCTA